CCCCCCCCTTGAAAGTTTTCTGCGGGCGCCCATGCCTGCCTTGAAGCCTTGAATTTAATCATTTAACCAAACTTAATCATGGCAAAAATTCCCTTGAACTAAACACTAAATAATCATTGTTAAGAAACATGCTTACTCTTGTTTATTGTAATTGTATCGAGTACTTATTGTGCCAGTCTATTTTTGTAGTAATACCAAAATTAAATTGTTATTGCTAGAAACTTATGTGATCCTAATTGATTATGCCCTAAGATTACTAAGAACGGGTCACCCTAAGAACGTCGTACTTTCTTTAAGGGGAAGCGATTCTAAAAAATATAGGTAATGTTTTCTGGTTGTTGTTTCCCTTTGGTCTTTGAAACTAATTCTACTGTTGCAATGCAGTTATATTTGCGACATGCCAGCGGTTGGTGTATTTTTGTCTTCTTTTTATTTTTTGGGAGGAAAAATGACACGAAAAATCTTTAATTATGACACGTAGCTCCCCCTGCCTAATACTTATTACCACCCTGGCCCCTGCACCCAAACATTTCACCTACATTCCAACCAACTTCATCAATCGACACCCCCCCCCCCTTTTCCCCATTTGTCTGTCAGTGTTGCGCCCCCCCCCCCCCCTCCAACTGAGTCCAACAATTGGCTCTTATTTCTAAACGTTTCCCCTTTCCCGTATTTAAAAGCGAAATGGCTGCAAAGGTCTGCGCAAGGGAGTTAATTAACTGAACTCTATTGGTATAAGGATGTCTACATTTAGGTGCCCAGTGTGGATGGACACAGAAAGAAATCATACGGAGTGCGCCCTTTTGAAGCTGTAGAGGCGTAAATTATGGAACAGTTTGTCTCAATCTTTGAGGGAAATGGAAAATTATACATTTAAAAAAAAATCATTTAAGAGATACCGAGTATTTAAATAGAAATTTTTCTTTAAATATATTTTATGACATCAGAGCGCTTTGAACATGCTAAAATAGTAATTCATACTTCATATCTGTCCCTATCTGCTTATGTCTAGTAGGACTGATGAAGAGAAGCAGTTCCCGAGACTGTTGTTTTACCCTAACCCAAATTCAATGATGGCGCTGAACGCTGTATTTGGCCATTTATACTATATGGAGTCCTACTATATGGACTCCTACTATATGGACTCCTACTATATGGAGTCCTACTATATGGAGTCCTACTATATGGAGCAGAAACTTTGAAAGCAACAGCCAGCATTACGCAGAAAACATAGACCTTCGTAAACACATGCCTTAGAAAGACCGGAACATCAAATGGCCACATACCATCACCAAAAAAGATTTTCTAGAAAGGACTCACCAGGTACACCCCCCCCCCCCCCAAAACACCGCCCGACAATCCCTAACATGGAATCCTCAGGGAAGAAGAAAGAGAGGAAGGCCAAAGAATACATGGAGACGGGAGCTAGAGGCAGGCACAAAAAGTATGGGATACATCTAGAAACAACTGGAAAGGAAAGCACATAACTGCGATGAATGTAGAATTCTTGCGTACGGCCAGACGGGGTAAAAAGGCATAGCATAGCGAAAAAGAAGAAAGAAGGAAAGGAGCTGAGCGCTGTGGTTGGTGGAATACACAATTCTAATGCCACGTGATATGTCTTCAAATTAAATACAACATTTCACCTCGTTTTGTCAGCAACATCACTTTTTATATTCTGACTTAAGTTATGGAGTCCGGCAGTCGGATTAATTTTCAAAATTTTAAATAATATTTTTTTAAACTCACTAACAGTATGGTGGTTTGAGACGTCAACGTGCACAGTGACCGCACGTGCCGGAATGGGTATTGAATTGTGTCTGACCCTAACGATAATATGGTGGTGTGAGACGTCAATTCAATCACTTATGGCGCAAAAATGAAAATTGGGAAAATTTGAAGGGTTGCTGCTGTTGATTGTGGTCCATATGAATTGCGGTCCTTATGAATGTGGTCCGTATGATTCTGGTCAATATGAATGTGGCTCATATGAATGTGGTCCATACGATTGCGGTCCATATGAATGTGGTCCATATCATTGTGGTTCATATGAATGTGGTCCTTATGAATGTGGTCCATATGATTATGGTCCATATGAATGTGGTCCATATGAATGTGGTCCATACGATTGCGGTACATATGAATGTGGCCCATATCATTGTGGTTCATATGAATGTGGTCCTTATGACTGTGGTCCATATGATTATGGTCCATATGAATGTGGTCCATATGATTGTGATCCATATTAATGTGTTCCATATGATAATGGTACATATGAATGTGGTCCATATGATTGTGGTCCGTATAAATGTGGTCCTTATGAATGTGGTTCATGTGATTATTGTCCATATGATTGCGGTCCATACGCAAACACAACAGAGAGACTTAATCTTCATTTTTGTTCCCATCCAACTTGGTCGCCGTCTCATCCATAATATTCCTGAATAAGTTCTCCTTTAGCCTTGCCGTTCACACACCACTGGCCTGGAGACTGTGAGATTTAAGTCATCAACAGCTACTTAGAAAATACCCCAGGTCTCAGGGGACTGCTCTCGCAAAGTCGCAGTCAACTCAAAGGCGGAATTATTCATGGTATAGCCGCCGACTTGGCCCATTTTTTCTTGGCTGCGATTATTTTTGACCCAACTACAGTGGTAGAAACTGATCATTTTTAAACATTCAAACACTGTTTTCTTGAAATAAATGTTAACTTTATCGTTTCTTGATCTCTTCTTGTATGTGTGTGTGTGGGGC